ATATATGTCAACAAAAATAATACCGTCCAATCAGCTTCCTGCTTTGAGTCTGACACACTGACTGTCTGACATGCTGGCTGTCTGATACATTCTGCTCAGCTAAAAAAAAAAACAGCAAATGCCCTTTGACCTGTTCACCAGTCGTGCTGAATCATCTCAGACGTGCCTGTGATATCTCACAAAATCATAAAGCAACTCAAGCTGTCAGTCCTTCATCGAGTTCACAATACAATCTACACCTCTGGTTGATTCATTTAGAGGTTAGATGAGGTCAAATCTATATGAAGTTCTTCCTGGTTGCTACAGTCACTCTCAGAATGAGCGTGCCTGTGTGTTTGTTTCTGTTTGTATATGACAAAGTTGTTTGCTTGCCTAGGAAATGACATTGCTTAACAGATCAGATCTTACACAGATGCACACGTTCACGCCAATGCGGATAAATCACACACACATTACTGCATTTGGTCAGAGCGTTAACATGTCCTCATGAATCTGCTTTACGTGGTTAGACTAGCTGCCTGTGCTGTCTCAGAACTGTGCTATTAAAACTGGAATTACTGCATGGAAGTTCCTGACTCATTTACATTCACATTTTACTGTATTTATGGATCAAATGTACAAATCTAGTGTGCGATGTTATAGAAACAGGCAGAAAGATACAGGATAACATTAAAAATATATTCGCAGTGTGTCTATGAATGAGACTTTGACCCCTAACAATTCTTTCTAAGCTCTTTGAAGGCCAGAGATATGGGTGTTTGTGGCAGAGATAATACATGTAGAGATGCAGTGTTTGTAATATCAGATCGGATCAGCTCAGCGTCGGCTGCTCTCTGACAGGCCATGGGAATTAGCAGGCTAACTTTAGCTGCTGTCTGCTCTTTGCGTGTATAATCAGAAAATAACACAGCTTTGAGTCATAGGCTGGCTTTCTCCCTCAGGAAAATATGAGAAAGAAATGGAGCCAAGGACAAGTCAGGGATTTTCCATTTGGTTTTTCTGGCATATCTCTCACTCACATGCTTTTGTGCCACATCTTTCCATATAGGTCCTTTCTTCTTACCAGAGTTTACACTACTGCATGTTTGAGGAAAGTAAGATGAAGAGCCAAAGAGAGAGACACATTGTCTACACTGTGAGCGAGCAGCATGATGCGACGAAAAACTAGAACACTACAGTTCAAATCAGAATTTATTTTTAAACAGAATTTAACCTGAATTCCACATTGAATTTCTATAGGACTTGGCATGGCATTAAGAAAGAAACAAACAAATGAGTATCTATACATTTTCATCTGATTTAATTATGAGTAAAATAGTAACCATTCTCATTTCAACACTGCAAAAAAACATTTGCAAACAGGACTACAGTAAAAACCTGTTAATTGGTTAACTGTAACTTAATTGTGAGATATGCAGGGCTGGATTGGTAATCGGGCATACTGGGCATTTTCTCGGTGGGCCGACGCACTTAAGGGGCCGACAAAATGTTTTTTTGTTTTTTTTTTGCCAAGGACCATCACGCAGGGACAGCGAGCAGCCAGTGGCCCATTGGATTGTCTCCTGTATAGACAGCGTAAACCATCCAATCACAATGCGCTATAGACGGAGCGATGAAGTATTTTGCTCCGCCTATATAAAGATCGCTTCACTCCAGCTTCTTCCTCGTCGGCTTTTCCCACGTTTTCACAGCAGATTTATCAATTTTATATAAAAAAGACACGATATTGTCAGACCTGACGTTTTATTCTTATCCAAAACAACTAGATGTGATATGTGTGTGATACATACATACACTACCAGTCAAAAATTTTTGAACAGTAATATTTTTTTATATTTTTGAAAGAAGTCTTTTCACCAAAAAATGCCTGGGCCGATTTTTTGTCCCAGTCCAGCCCTGGAGATATGGTAAGGTAATTTATCATAAACACTGGAAAAGATTTGGTGTAATAGCCAAATTTCCAATTTCTAATTTCCAGGTAAATTTCACAGTTAATACAAAGAAACCACATTTTGCACAATTAATTAAACTTGAAAGTTTGAAATTTTAAGAAAGAATGAAATGGTGTTTTCTTGTAAAATACTCCAGTAATCATTTGACTTCAAAAATAATTTTTTACAGTGTTCAGTGAAAAATTGTAAATGGTTTAATATTACATTATGCAAAAATCAGAAAATTACTTTATAGTTCACCGTTCACCCAAAAATGAAAATTTTATGTTTATCTGCTTACCCCCAGAGCATCCAAGGATGTAGGTGACTTTGTTTCTTCAGTAGAACACAAATGATGATTTTTAACTCCAGCCG